AAAAATAGTTCGTAAGTACAATTTTATATATTTATCAATCAAAATGATATTATTTTGTATTTATTTTAAAATATTACCATTTCAGAGGATTAAGTGTGTCTGGGAGATCAAATCAATCTGTACAAATTATTTGTAGAACACCGAGTCATGTTGTCGAAAGTTTTGGATCGGCTTTACCTGTTCTTGTTACAGAAGCTTTAACATTTGTTGATAAAAGTACAGCTGTTAGTGTCAGCGTATCTGCAGATGGATGGGCTTGGCTTATATGCGGTCGTAGAATTTTAGTTTGGCAATGTAAAACTACAATACATGATCCTAAACAAAGAAGAATATATAAAAGTCAATGTCGAGAATTGCAGCTACCTCAAAGCGATCTCGCTCATAAAGCTGAATGTATAGCCGTGTGGTTACCTCAAGGACAACAGGTTCTTTAGATTATCCATTGTTATAAATAGTATTGATAGCTATGTGAGCAGATCAAAGCAATTAACTTCATGGCAACAAATAAGTGGCTCATGTAAAAGAATTGTAATTTCTAAGAATAAAGATAATGTTTATATTCCATTAGGTTCCAAGTTGTATGGCAGTTTCACCGGAAGGTATTGTGCGATTTTGGGCTAGTATAGCTCATGAAGGATCATCCGTAGAAACAAGTGCTGAACTTGCCGGACAAGAAGTTAATTGTTTAACATATATCCCAGGGCATGGTTGTATTTTAGCTACAACCACTTGTACAGTAGCACTTTTACAACCACAATTTATTGGTGGAAAAAATAGTATTATTTGTCGTGTCCTTAGAACAAGTCAAGGATGGTTGGGTGGTATTGGACGTAGAATGACATCCCTTATTTTTGGAGCTATACCACAATCACCAGTTGCAGAAACGGTATTTTATTAATTTTTATTACAGATATAGATAAGATTATAAATTAATGTTGCAATTTACATAATAAGTAAATGATTATTTTTTAGAAACTAGTAAAAGTCGTATGTTCAGGACTTGGAGAAAGAGGATCAAGGGTTTTGATTCTTGCTGGATTATCATTACAGTATTGGTCATTTCCACATAATGAACAAGAAAAAATGGAGTTTGATGAAGATATTAGCCATATGGTTTCACAAGCTTTTCAAAGAAAAGTTTGGGTTAGAATCAAAGAGTTTTTCAAAAATTGCTATTAATTAATCATTATTTGTCAATATATTAATATTTTTTAATTCATAGGAAGCAAGTGCATGTAATCCACAAAGTATGGATACTTGGTTAATTGATATGCAATTTTGCGAAGAAGGAATAGTGTTTCTAATGGCAGCCTATTGTGCTGATATTTCTATGCAAATTTATTTTGCTCTTGGTAAAAAATTTATATTGTCCAATTTTATTACAATTACTTTTTATAATTTTATTATTCATTCTTTAATTTATATTTTCCATTTCACCATGTGTTCTTCTAGGATTAATACCTTTGTCTGGTGCATCTATGGCAAATAGTTTTAAATGGTTTATACCTGTGAAATTTGATTATATTGCCTTCTATAATGTTGATATAGAAACAATTTTACTTTCTCATCGTTTCATACTGTGTGGTTGGGAAGCAATTATATATGATCAATATCATGTTATTGTAGTTAATTGTAAGTGCTCTTTAGAATACCATTACATGTTACAAGTTATACGTAAAGTTATTAAAAGATTTAATTATATTTATTTTTTAGATGCTTCTGAACATGACCAAGATAAAATTGAATTAATTAGAGATAAAGAAGACAGTATCTTGGGAGGAGCTTTATGCTCTGGAACACCAGTACTATTTACAAAAAATATTGGACTTGTTTCTATTATACCAACAGATTTTTCATCGCAAGACTTTAACACGTTCGTTTTTTTTTTTATATATGTTTAATAATTTATATTTGTGTCGAATAATAATTTTTATTTATTATTTACAGGAACTATACAGATACCAATGCTACCATAGATTATAGTTATAAAAATGATCAAACAACACAAAACTTTTCTTTTCTTACAAGTAACGATGAATTGCAAGATATGTTTTATAGTTCTGATGGTATCACACAATTAAGAGCTGCATTCTTACTAAGTTTACGTCAAAATAAGGTACAAAGAACATAATATTGTGACAAATTGAATTAATTATGAAAATATAACGATACACTATTAATATAAAATATTTAATCTTTTAGTCAAAATGCGAAGAAATTTTAACGCAACTATTTCCTTTGCAAGAAGAACCTGTAATGGACATTGATGCAATTCTTGATACACTGGCTTTGAAAGTTGCAAAAGATTTAATTAATGATTATCCAGCGAATGATCCACGTTGGACAAACCATAGGGATTTATGTAATTATTATTATTTTTTAATCTATTTAATTTTTATGTATAAAGTCACTATACTTTATGAATATATTTTTTGTTTGTTTAGCTATAACAATAAATGCTATTACCGCTATTCAAATACCGCATCAATTAGAAGGAAAACAAAAAGCATTAGATCTATTTGTATCATTTTTGAAAGAACATAATTTATGGGATAAAGTAAGTATTGAATTATAACTGGAGTATTTCAAAAATATATTATTCTCATTATAACTTTTATACCCCTTTATAAAGTTTTGTGCAGTAACATACAGAGGAATAATCATGTCTACATCGCATGTTCTTAGCGAATATGCAGAAAAAATAGTTGCTGCTATGACTATATATAATCTTCAAAATAGGTATGTTTTTCTGTTAAATTTTTATCAAAAATAAAACTATGTTTGGTTTATATTAACATTTATTATTTTTTAAGAAATCCAGAACTTATTGATTCTATTATTGAACAAACATTGAAACCTGAAACATATGTCTCCGAAGAATTAACTTCACGTGATATATTTTATCGCGAAGTAAGTGCTGTACATTTATTCTTACCTTGCTTAGTAAACAATGCGACTGAAATCACACTATCGGAAAGACCAACGCACCAAGTTGCACAATATATAATGCAAGTAAATTCTATATTATTGGTAAGTACATATGTAAGATTTTAACGTTGTTTTTTACACATTTTTTCATAGTTTTATATTTTTGTAACAAGGGTACTTTAAATGAAGTAGTAAAATATCGACAATATAATGCTGAACGTTTCGTACCAACAAGATGTTCAAATGGTATAACAGAATATCTTCCTTGGACTGCAGCTTCTGGTAAACATGGTCTTAGACATTGTCTTACCACAATGGTATGTGTATTTAATTTGCTTAAGGAGCTATTCTTTTTAATGAAAATGTGATAATGAATTTTTTATTTTCAACGTGCACAGCATAATATGACCTTAAAACATGGTGTTACTGGAACGAATGATACAACAATTAAAAATGAATTATATGAACAACTGGTTAGTCTTATAGATCTAATATTAGATGGAAGAAAATGTCATTTAGAAAGTATTCGTGGTACTGAGAAATTTGAAGTACTTTTAAAACAATATGAAACAGATAGAATGAATTTGATTCAACCTCTTAGTAAGTATTATTATAAATATTATTTTTATATACTTTATATTAATACAATACGCGTAATTAATTTGTAATATTTTTTTTCAGTAAAGGAAGAACAATATGAAAATGCTGCCATACTTGCTGAAAAATATTGTGATTTTGGATCTCTCATCCAAATTTGCGAATTAACAAATAATAAAAATAGACTTGATAGTTACATAGATAAATTTGCGTCACAAGATTTTGCAGGCTTTTTATTTTCATGGTAAATATATATTTGACTATTTTGTTTCTATTTTGTTATAATAATATTATAGATAATATTTAAAACATGTAATAATTAAAAATAAAGGTACGTGAAAGATGGACGACAAGGACAATTAGTAGAACGATGTAGACGTGGTGGTTCAATTGAGTTGGCAGAAAAATTATCCGAGCATCCCACTTTATCGTGGGTACAAGCAGTGTTGACAGATGAATTAAGATTTGCAGCTAATACACTGCACTCGTTAGCAGTTCAAGAAACTGAATTAGTAACACGCAAAAAAGTATGTATTTGTTATTTTTATAAAGATTGTATCCTAGAAAATGATTTTATATCATTTTGTTAATAGTCTATGTTGTCATTGGCAAAATTGGCACTTCTTGCATCCGATGAACCAGAATATGAAATAAAAGATTGTGTAAAAAGTATCGACAATGAACTAGCTTTAATTGCTCATCAAGAAGATCTACCAACTGGAGTACTCACAACATATGGATATGATATTGAAAAATTGAAAGTATTTACACCAGTGGAATTAATCACGGTATAATAATTAATCCTTTATAATATTTTATATGTGATAAATATTATAATATTAACCAATATTACACTAATTTTGTTTATTTAGCTTTATACATCTGAAGATAATGTCATAGCAAGCGAATATGATTTTAAAAAAGCTTTAGATTTATTAGATTACGTCAAACAAGAAGATGAAAAGTCTTCATTAAGATTGAGAATTTGGGCACGTGCAGCTCGAAGAGATTCATGGGAAACAGTTGATAAAAATCCTAAACAACAAGCACAAGGAACCATATTTTTTAAATTAATGGAACTTGCATATATGATGGGTATGTTATATGATAAAATTGTGAATAATTTTTCCTTCATATATTTACGCTTTCATTGTTATATGTAGGTGGTAAAGTTAAGGAATTTTTACCATCAGTTGATGCACTTCTTATGGAACCCGAATTAGGATCTCTTGCAGCATCCAGTAATTTTCAATTTCTCGTCAAATTATTATACGAATATGCTTATGATAATTATTAATAAATTAATCTGATATCAATATAAATACTAAGTTTGTATTTTTATATACAATAAATAACAATTATATATAAACTGTCAATAAATTTTTTTTATAATTGTTTGAATAACATTTTAAAGTACAAAAATAATTAAAATTGTTAATAATCTATTTTCTTAATATAAGTTATTTGAAAAATATAAATAAAAGAAAGACGAATGTCGAAAGTATTATTGATAATATATTTCTGCTTGCATTATTCTTATAGTATGTACTTTCTATTCTAACAATATATCGCACATGATCTGGTGTTCTACAAGTTAATTCTGGAATGAAAAATATAAATAATTTTTCTAATCATTGAAAATATTTTTCATCTTAATTTTACATCTAATACTTATATGTTAATTGTTTAAGATTTTTTATAATGTAGATAATTTATTCACTTATTACATACCTGCACATTTACGTAAAGAAGTTACATGCTGTACACGATAATATATGTGAGGACACATTTTTTTGTTAGGACAAAGAGTATAATCATTTAATATAATATCCTTATGACCGTCTGCATCTCTACAATATTCATTGTATTTCTTTTTTGTGCTATTGAACTGAATCCAAGAGCATACTGTTATTTCACCATACCCAACGCTATGAAACTAAAATATAATCACATTAATTTATTAAAGAATTATATAGGTATTTAAAAAGAAAGAAAATTTAAAAGAAAGGAAATATACAAACCGTAACAGTTATTTTTTTCGTATTTTTTCTCCAGTGTCCGTGTAATTTGTATAAAATAGATTGTGTTGGAGCTATATAATTTTCCATTTGATTTTTATGATTTTCAGTAGTTACATTTATATTTGGTAAAGGTCTTAATAGCCAATGTACTAAAAATACATTATTATGAATATTTATTACATCATAAGAGTAAATATGATTACAATTATATATACCTGCACTAAAATGATTAATAATATCATCAATTTGCAAAGTTTTAATTAAATGATCTTCTTCTGACATTATAAAAGGTTGAAATAAATATGCATTATACTCCGATGTGTAATATAAGAAATGTACATCTGTGTATATAAAATAATATATCAATATTAGCACATTAATGTTACTAGTTAGTGAAAAATTAAAGATAATTTACCTGGATAATATAATTTGATTTGTTGTAATAACATTAGAACCGATTGTTGTTGTACGTTGGTCATAAATGCTAATGGAACTAATAAAATTATAATTTGTCCTAAATTACCAATTACATGATTTTTCTGATTTTCTTCTAATGTAACATTTAAATAAGTAAATATTGTTTGAAGTGTATTAGTATAATTAAACTGACTGGGCCCTAAAAATAATTATTTATAAATGTTACGTTTCTCAATGTTCTGGTTGAGTAGAATGTTTGTTAAAATAGAAAAACAGTTTATTAATTAAAAATGAATCCACACACAAAAGTCACACATATTAAGTTGATATTGTTAGTAACATAAATAATATTTAAAAATATAGTATTTAATTAACTTATAACGTTTTACAAATAAATGATATAAACTTACATGACACTTTTGTAAAATTGTATATAGCTTCATATGCAACTGATGGTCTATTGGTGACGTTAAGTAACCAATTTCCTGTAGAGCCATGCAATATACCTATTTTAGTACCATATATTGATACATCTAAATCTTCTAATAGAACTCTGAAAAAAGTTTTTTATATTCAAATCTTTTTTTTTTAAATTATGTATATATAAATACAGTTGTATACGCTTACGAAATAAAATCCATAGTATAATCTGGGGTCCATGCACCGTCAAAAGCAATTATTACTTCTGCTGGTAATTGAACATTTTTATTACGACAGTGCGATTCTGTAAGTAAATGTTTTTCTGTATAATTTATAAATGTATCAACAGCATAGTTAACCAGTCGCTTTAATGCTTCTTCAGATATATATGCTATGCTATTACGATATGCTAATAAATATGATACTGCATGTGTCTATAATATAAAATTTTTATAATTTTTCTTTTTTTGTCACAATATAATACCTACTAATGCTTAATAATTTAATTCTGAATATACCTGTTCTGCTAAAATAGTTTTGGATGTAACTTGTGCAAAAGTTGTTTTTCGATTACAAGCTTTGATATTTGGGTTAAAATTAATGCCTTGATTAGAATAATACATATCAAAAATCTGACTAAGTCGAAGGCTATGAAAATTGGCAGTCCATGTTTCTAAATTGCGTGCAAGTATTAAACCTGTGAAATACAAATAACAATTTAAAAATATTAAGATTAAATAATGTTTTATATATTTTACTACAATTAATTTACCATCAATGTCACCAACTATTTCAGCCCGTGTTGCGTCATAACTATCAGGATTTTTTGTAAGATAATAAATATTAGGATATATAGTACTGTTCCAAAATCCAGTTACTCCTAACGTCATTTTTTCTTTTGCTAAAGGTCCTTGATAAATTACCATTTCACCCAAGTCCCCTTAAATGTACATTTTAATTGTGTATTTTCAATTTTTCTTCATATATAACAGTTTATTACTATCATTATAGTAGTTAAATATCTCTTACCAGCAATTGTGGTAAGCCATATATTATCAATTGTTATTTCTGATGTATTTATAGATTGCTGCCACATTGATCTTTCAATAATCATTTTGTCTTTTGGTATAATAAAATCAATCTCATCTTCATTGACATTTAAACAATTTAAATCTTTAATATGATTATAATTAAAATTAAGATAATAATAAGATTAATTAATAATAAAAGAAATTTATATGAATGTCTCTTTCAAAATATTATATTAAAAAAAATAATATTTCAATGGTATACTTGTAGAAGTTGTAGCTGATGCTGCAAATAATTGATTCAAAGTAATACTTTGATGCTCTAAACTAGCAGCTATTGCTCCTATAATAGCACCAGGAGCAATTGTGCCATACGGAGTGAGAATAACTCCATATTCTCTTGGACAATCTGTTGCATTAATAGATATGGTTCTTCCTATGAGAATAAGTTTGTAAGATAATAATTCTAGATTTAATTGTATATTGATAAGATGTTACCAGTTAATTTTTCTTGATTCCCAATTTTTTGGCACAGATTGTTTATGTCGTCAGATTTATATTTGTTTATAGTATTTGAGATGGCAAAATGAAGAGTGCATCTTTCTAACTGTGAAAGTACTTTAGAAGGAAAAGCATCAGCATTGCCTGGAACCAATTCTTCTATTATTATATTTTTTGTTCGTTGTGTCCCACGTCCAATGAAAGGCAATATTCCTTCACTTTCATGCAAGCCTTCAACGTATTCAACTCCATCAAATTTAAACCTAATATATAACTAGTAACATTATTAATTTAAATTTAAGATATTTTATATATTTCTTTTACCTGTGTAACAATGACGAAGAGAATGTTCTCATATCCATAGTAGTAAATGTTTCTATTTCAGCTTTTTGCAAAATATCAATGAATGTACGTATATTAAAGGGCAATAAAATCTCATTTTTAGTACGATTTATATAGCATTCTTTAAGAGAATCTGGTATAGTTACTTGAGAATATACTACACAATATCCTGTAAAATGAAATACAATCCATTAGTTATTCCTCTTTTCAATATATAAATATTATATCTACAATTTTTAATAAAAAAATGTAAACGTATAATACATACCGATGCATAAAAGACACCAAATTTTGTATATTAACATTTTGAAACAGTTCACTATGTCACTGAAAGAGTATTGCACATGTTATAATAACGTATGTACTCCGCAATGAATCACTATGTTTTAGAAAGATAGAGTAAGATAATGCTCGACTTCCAATCTTGATAAGATAAATGTATAAATGTGTGAAATCTCTATAAAAATTATATTATTTACATTTCTTAATTATTTATATAAAATCAATGCAATAAGTATACAATAAGTATACAATAAGATATTAATTTATAAAAATAAATTATTTATAGAAATGTATAATATATATTGTTTATACATAAATAATACCTACAAAGATAAAAAGTAAAATAGTTATGTTATAAATATTTATATAACATATATTTATAGTTAAAAGATTAATATTTCAATATAGTAAATTTTTAAATGAAAATAAATGTTTTTTGCTTTTTTGTTTCTTCAAGATTAGCCTTATTCATATAAGTATGATCTGTGCAATAAGAAAAGGGGACATATTACTCACAATATTTCATATCTTATCTTTTGATAGTGATAGTAGATATTTCTACTTGTGTTAAAAGGTAAGTGTAGTACCTTTCAAAGAAGAATAGTAAGGACAATATATTTTGTGTAACAATTAAATAAGTCATTTTTATAATAAAATGTAAGTTGTGCCAAATTACTGATATTTTTAAAATAATGCATTATAAGTTGGTCGATATTTTACTTCATAATTTTATATAACTTCAGTTATATATTGTTTAGTATAAGTTATAGTTTATAGTAATATATTATATTTGTAGATCTACTGAATTTTATTTTATTATATACGAACAAAATTATGATGAAGATACTTTATTTACTTATCATGGGTTTTGTCTACAATTTAGGTAAGTTTTTTTATTGATTTAAAATTTTTATTTATCTAATTTTTTTTTAAATATACATTATATGTACTAATAAATTTTAAAAGTAGCATTGAGATGATGTCATATTTTAGGCATCCATGCGCAAGAAAATGCTGTGCGTACTCTTCCAACTTCTCTTCGTGAATGTTATGAAAATAAATATCTTTTAGAAAGGGATAATAGATTACCCCATACTTTAAATACACTTATAGCAATAGTGCGAAAAATTGAAAATTCAGAAGGATTGAATATGGACCTTAGAAGTTTGTCTGTCGCATTATTACATCGGTAAAAACATATACATATGCAAACTGTCAGTAAATTTTATTATTGATAATACTTATTTAATATTTCTCTTGTGATTTTGCTAATAAGCCAATTAATCATATTTATAATATTTTTTAAATAACATAAAATATATTTATTAATATTTAAATATTATCAATATATAGTTTTCGCCAAGATGGTATACGTCCAAACCCATCTGTGGTATCACAAGATGGAATATCTCCTTACGCGCCAACTGGTCACGAATTTTTTCGTCATGCAAAAACACTTCGATTTATACAAGGAAATGCAATGTTGTTTCCTAATAACAGTATTACTGCTGTTGAAAGAGTAAGAGTTTTATTGATAAGTTAAAATCTTTATAAATCATAGATATACATATATTTTTTTTATAAATCATTTCCAACTTATACCTTAACATGAAACAAATGTGACCATATAATGATAGATTATTTATTTCAGTGTACTCTGCATTTTATGCTGTCAAGTAGCGTAAACATTTTTGAAAGAGGCGATGAAGGAACAGTTTGCAGATCTGCGAATAGTGCATACAGAAATATTAGAAGTATTGATAAAAATGATAGTAACAATACAAAAAATATTAATGACGATGTTGAAACTTTATCTCCAGAAGAAATGTAAATATATATATTTATTTTTCTTCCATTAAAACATATTTTAATAATAATTTTAATTATCATATAGAGAAACAATAAAAAATAGAAAAGATTCAACGGAAAATGCAGTAGATCCTAATTCATTCTATCCAGAATTGCCACCAAATCATCCTGATAAAGGAAGAATATTTGCTCTACCACCGCTAAGTAAATGCCCTGTTGAGAATGGAGTAATTAAGACTCCGTAAGTAAAGCTTTTTTCAAAATGAAGAAAACGAATTATTCTTTATAATTGTTTTTGAAACATGTATGATTAATAATTTTATAGTTGGGGATCAATTTCTGGTGGCTCAATTCTTGCTGGTATAGCTGCAGCAGTACAACCAGAAAATATTATACTTCGAGATGTATTGAAAGATGAAATACTACAAACTACATATTCATCTGATATAACTTTAGATAATAAGTGGATAGCCACATTAGCTGGTAGATATTCAAATAATTTTAGATTAATTTGATTATTATATCTAACATTTATATTTATATATTTCTAAGAAAAGTAATATTAAATTTATGCAGGAGACTTAGCTGAAGTTGCGCTTATGCAAGGTCCTAGAGGAGAAAAATTACAAGTAGGAGTAAATGGAGATTGGAATTCTACTGCAATGCCACGTTGGTATTTTCTAAATTCTAATGAGAAACTTCAATTTACGACTGCCGAAATTAGAGGAGATCTGGATGGATTGATTCTTGCTAATGAAGTTAAATCGTGGTATTCAAAAATACCTAGCTTACGTCTTTCTCAAATTTTGGATATGTATTACAGTGCTCCAGGCTTATTTAATTCTACAATTCGAGCATGTAATCGTAGATCGTTGTTTAGATATGTTGCACCTAATTCTACATTATCTGCACAGGTAAATTAATTATTATAATTTTTCTGAATATTATAATGTTTTACATAAAAATAAAACAATATATTAAAATAATTCAATAAATTATTTTGTTTACAGGCATACAGCGCATCTTTAGTATTAAGTGAAAATTTAGCAAAAGCCACACTAAAACCACCTATTATAGAAAAATTTGCAGTTGATGCTGCAAATGAATTATCAACATATATACGTTAGTATTACACAAGCTTGTTATATCCTATTATATGATCAATCCCATAATATACTAAATTTTTAACAAATTTCTATCTTTTATAGCTTCATCAATGAACCAAGATTTATCATGTCAAGAGACAGATCGTCTATTTGATTCGACTACAGTTTCTGTGGACTTGACTATTATTCTTGATACAAATTGGCCTTTTAAATTAGTACAACTCATATTAGCGTAAGTTTAAAAAAAGCAATGAAAAAATTTGTTAAATGTCTATTTACATATTCTTTTTTTCATGCAGGCATATGTTAGAAAATACGGAGATTAATCAGTTCAATAGTAATTTTACTATACTTAATGGCTATGATGGAAGTATAATAATTAATAGTACCAATACTATTTTAAATTTCAACAGTTTTAATTCTTCTAATTATTCTAATGGTATGTTTACTACATACATATGATCTTTTGTTCTTATATTATCTAGAACTTATTTAATGAAATAGTAAATAAAAATAATTATTTCCAGTTCATAAAGGTTTAAACCTATCTAAGTCACTTCAAATGTTAAGAACTTTAGAGCAAGATAAATTAAATAGAGAGCATAGCGAAGGTATTGGAGGAAAAGCATCAGATGTAGTGTTAATTATGCCATATAATGCACAGTTATCGCAATCTGATAAAGAATATTGTTTAGAACAACTCAAATATATGCGTGAAGAAATTCCAGGTAACAAGAAATATTTTATATATTCCTCAGTATATTTTATTGTATACTCTTTACTCCTTTTATATTATTTTATTAATTTGTAAACGTTGTGTTTAGATGCAACCATCCTCATTTTAACTTATGGATCAAAGGATACATGGGCAAATATAGTACAAGATTCTACATCAGATTTGTTCTCAGTTGGACAGGCAGATACTAGAGATGGTTTAGCACCACTTGATAAACTTATTTCAAGAATAAAACAAAGTAAGATATAAATGTGATAAAACACATAATATTAATAAAATATTATGAAATAAATAAATATCAAATTACTGTAATAAACACATTATAATGATGCACAAATATTAATAGAAAACAAAAATTACAGTTCCTAAAAGATTAATTAACACACAATGTGGTGCAAATTATGTTTCAATTGGAACTTCGAATTCATTTGTGGATTATGTCCAACCACAGGGAATAAACTTTTATAGACTTCATCCTAATTATTTCTTTTCTCATGATACTACAGCTACAGTAAAGGTATGTAACGTACAAAAAAGAAATATATATACATAAATTAAATCTCAAAAGAATTAAATGTATTTTTGATGATATACTTTTTAGATTTTAGGATCTGGTTGGGGATCTTTAACAGTATGCACATCAAGAAATCTATTATATGTTAATACAACAAAAGCTAATCAAGAAGTTTCTTGCACATCAATAAGTAACAACGAACATAGTGTTTCAGTTTCTTGTGGCGATGCTACATTTATTCATGAATGTCAACCACTATATATATCTGTAACTGCTAATGTTTCTGATATATCATATCAATGCACAGGTAAATGAAAATAATGGATAAATATATATTATATAAAAATATCAGTGAACAGTTATAGAAATAACAACTTTTTATTTCAGATCCAAGCAGGTGTAGATATCCACATATGATAAAGTATACTATTTCATACGAGCATTTAGTATGCACAAGTAGTGCAAATAAAATGGCAATCAATTCTATTGCTTTGATAATAATAGCAATGTATTGTCTTTTATCAAATATCAGATCTTATTAAAAAAAGTTATTTATAACAAAAATAATCTATGATTCAAACTATCAAATAATAAGTTTTTAAAAAAATCATTATAAAATTTAATTACAAAAATTATATTTATAATTTAACATCTTTTAAAAATTTGTAATAATTAATTGACAGTAAATATAATAGGTTAAAATAATGTAGCTAAATTAGAGTCTATTTTCTCTTAAATAATAAGAGATTATTTTTTGTTATCTCATTAGAGCGTAATACAAGTAATGGTTCACTTTCTTATATTCATTTCATATTCAACAAATTATATCGGAAGTTTATATATTACAAACATATGTACAGATATTTAAAAAATGTTATGAAAATTTTGTACCAATAATAAATAAATTGTTACTTAATATAAAACAATATAATGTACCTTTAGATGAAGGGCTTGCAAAGTGCTACTGTGTGATCAATTCCACAGGAAACCTTTTTTACCTGAGCTCCTACAGACACCTTTCAAATAAAATTACAAAACATAAATAAAAATTGTAGGAAGAAATACAATAAAAAATACACATCTTACCTTGAAAGGAAAAAATTGATCATTTTGATGTCTCAATCCTAAAGATCCAAATTTATTACATCCCCACATGTATAAATCTCCTGTATTTGTTATCGCTGCTAGATGATTTATTCCACAATATATATTTGTAACCTAAGAATAAAAATGATTGCATTACACCAAATGAATATTTATGTAAAAATCCATATTAAATAAATTTAATTTTACCTTGGTATTACGTGAATACGCATTGTTACCGAATAATGTGGATGGAATTAAAGTAGGTTTTAAAACTCTCTCTACTTTTGGTCCAAGACCAAGAATACCATATCCCCACACATAAACATCTCCTGAAGCTACAAAATATAATACAATAAATCATATTATTATGAACAGTAATCTATCTATTATTCTTGTTTCTTCTAATTAATATTTATTTGTTTTGTTCTTACAATTCAATATCATACAGAAACAGCCTCCAGTAGCAATGTCAACAATATGTCCTACTTCCTTAGGTATATTCAGTTCTGTAGCAATATTTACTTGACAATTATTACTGTCCATTAGTAATTGTCCATATTCTGAATTTCCCCATCCAAAAACTTTTCCCTTATCTAATGTTTAAAATGAAAAATAAAGCAATTGAAAATATTATTATAAATGTATTTTCTGAATAAACCCTAATGTAAATATTAATAACTACCGCTAAGAGCCAATACACAATCTGCAACACAAGCAATTTTTATTATGTGTTGCCCTGCTAAATCCCCTTTGACCAAACTTGGTTGATGTTCATTTCGATAATGTGCCAAGCCAGTTTGCCCATCAGCACCCCAACCAAATGTATATACTTCACCAGATTCTGTTAAAAGTATGCTACGATATAATATATATTAATAAGCAATGTTAGAAAATGTTTACATCGGTAGACATACAAGTAGATAATCAGAATAATTTGTTAGCTTTATACCTATGATCTTGACCAGCTGTAACAGCAGTTATTTGATTTCCTCTTATACTAGGTATATGATGAACTGCATTACTACGATTGTAATTTTCATTCAGTATAATTGGCCTACCGCATTGACCATATCCATTGTTGCCTAATGTAAAAAGTCCTTCGTTTGTTAATATTAATAAATGTGCCCTTCCAGCTGCTATACTTATAACTTCACCCGTTGAATTTTTAAGTGGCAGATTTATTGGCATTGGAGAAGTTACTACATCTAAATAAATTCTATTTGCTTCTTGAAAACCTAAGTAAAGAGACATTTCATTTGAAATAAGTATCTGAAAGCAGCATATTAATTTTACTGGCATTTAATATTTTACATAATAAAATACTTTATTACCAAGTTGAGAATCTGTGTTTATCCCACTACCATAAACGATATTTTTATCTGAAGAACTTATTGCAAAAGCTGTAAAACCATAACCACATGCAATATCTATTACTTTATATCTTTCTCCAAAAGTTAATCTTCTTGGTGCTGAAAGATAAGCTATGTCTTGTTTGTACAATGTTTTATCAATGGTACCTAAAGCTCCATGTTCCGCAAGACCCCAAACATATACTCTACGATCACCCACCTTACTGATCGGATACTTAAATACTGTAATGAAATGATAAAAAAAATGTACTTAAGCTTTTTTTTTTTATAGAATAATTAAGATATGAGAATAAAATAAATACTATTTAATATTTTTAAACATTACTAAAAGTAAAAAAATATATTTTAAGGTTATTACCAGGTAAAATGTCCTTTTTTATCTTCTTACGATTGGATTTTCCTAATCCTATATTTTTATTGATTCTTTTAAGTCCATTAATTATTTTCAACATAATTTTAATTATAAGAAATACAAATTTCACAAATAAATACTACATATACGTTATATGTTACTAGTGGATTTTGTTTAAGACATTCATGTTGTTTACAAAGACTTCATTAACATCACACACATCACATTAATCATCCACAGAAAGAATTAAAATTGACTATATATAGAAAGGATATTGAATATTGAATATGTTTAGAATTAGGAATTAGAATGATCGATTAGAATTCCAAATTTTCTTAAGAATAAAATGAAAATGATATACATGAATATAAATTTTAAAATTTAAATATAGTGCCTTACAATCGGTTCACCATTTTCCGGAAGTTCGAAATTGTTGTTGTTCAACAATCGAATGGTTAAATCACTGTGGACTAAGGATTATATTACGTTCATGGAAATAGACTTTAGCTGACGAACACGCTCGTAGATACTCTAGCTATAATTCGTGGCAATTCTATGAGTGAATTGGCAGCCATTTTTAAACTGCTCACTTACTATAATAGAACAGGAAGGATGTGGACAATGAAAATCGCATCGAGATAGTAATGTAAACGAATGACACCAAATGGCTTATAATTGACCGTGAAGGAATAGAGAGTTCGTATTGCTCAGTTCGAGTTTCATTTCTATTGGACGGTACTCGAGCAAACGAACTACATTCCCGTGCGATAGAAATGGTGAACTGTCAACACCTTACCAATCTCAGAACATGATTTTATTTCGTATATTTGCCGAGAGTTGGGGCGGTCTTGCCTGAAGCTTGTCCGGTAAAGATCGCAGATTACGCGACTGGTCATCGAAGTGAACGGACACCGGCATGCAGCAATGTTGGTTTTAACATGCGAGAGGAGAACGAGTGCAAAGATCGTGGCTCTCGAATGCTAAGTTCCTATAATAATGGCAGATAATGTACACAGGAAATCGCATAAACTCTCGGATGGTAGTAGAAAGATATCTAATCCAGTGCATCGTACGACTACGGAAACGATTCGGTTAGGAGAACCAGATAAACTACACCAGCCGGTTAGCTTGACTACCTCAAGCAACGTGACCAGTAGTAATCAGTGTAGAAAAAAGACGTCGTCTTTTCAAATTACAAGTGTTACAGTCGGTTGTCGTATGAGCAACGATGCCGGCGAAGATTCCAATGACGATTTGGACGAATCCCACACAGAAGATAATTCTGTGGAACATTCGCGTATTACCGATATTGATATCGAGACGCCTAGTTATTCGGAAGATACCTTCTCTAAAGAGGACGTATTTTTCAACACCAGTAATGCTGCTCTCAGTACTGCTCCGGTGATTCCTACCAGTTCACAATATGGACTGGCCATTGTACCATCAGAAGGAAACAGTGTGAACAATTCAGTCAACGATAGCAATATCAACACATTAGACATTACATCTGTTACCGACAACAATATTATTAATTTACTGTCGAGTAATGCTAAGCAAGATTCTGATTTACGAGAGGTACATTCACATGGGAGGAATGAACGTTTTAAAGTAGTCAAAATTGAAAGTACAGAGCCATTTAAGAGAGGTAGATGGACCTGCATGGATTATTTGGATCATACATCGGTGAATCAACCAGCTATTGGTACCCCTAAAGTTTCTGATCCAAATGAGGTGTGCATATCTTATGGGGTTACAGATAGTGGAATTGTAATCCCAGATGCATCTAAACAATCTGTTGTATCTGACGATAAGAGCATTAATCTTGACGTCAATGGAACAGTTCACTCTCATCCTGATGTGCAGTCATCGATTGGTGTACCGAACAATAGTTCAGTTACAAGTTCAAATTATGCAGTAAACAGTTCTATTTCCTCTACTGTACAGCATAATCCCACGCAACCAAACGTTCAACCACCTTCGCAAATTCCTCAATATTTTCAGTCATCTGCGCAACAGTTAGCTTCTCAACAACAAGGACAGGGATCTACGTTGCCATCTAATTTACAACCTACGCATCCAAATAATCTGGGGCAACCTCAGAGTATGCCTCAAGGTTCTATACCTATTATAACTCAAACTAGTAGTAATAGTGTTCCAACTCAACAAAATATGACTCATTCTAAAGAAGATCCATATCTGGGGGTTAGCACGCAAAATCAATCTTTACCTGGACAAACTGTTTGTCCTTCATCGGTACAGCAAACTACTGTTCCAACTTCTCAAGCATCAAATATACTTGTTACCCAACATCCATCACAACAACAGCAACAGCAACAACAATCGCAGCATCCACCACAGCAACAACAGCAGCAACAGCAACAGCAACCGCAACACCCTCCACAGCAACAACAGCAACAGCCTCAACAGCCATTGCAAACACAAAAACCAATGACTCAGATTTCCGAGCCACTAACTGCCGTTCAAGGAATGCAGGGCATTCAAAGTATACATAAAGTTCCTCAAACAGGTACACAGCAATCTTCCTCAACTATTCATGCACCAGGACCACCGGTACAATCTCAAGTTATACCACCAACACAAATGCAAACGCAATCCTCTGGTAGCAATACTCAAGTGCAAATGGCTCAAGTGCCAGCTGCTTGTCAAAATGTTGTGGCAGGAATGCAGCAAGGGACTATTGCATTTCATCAACCTGATCCAGAGCAGGACTCTATTTCAGGCATTGTTACTACTGCTGCAGCACAATCAGCTGATGCTACTCTTTTGGAATCTTTAACTGAAGTTACACAAGGAAGCGATGAACATCATACTCTTGAAGATAGTGAAAGGTATGTATACTTTATCTATTTTCATGTATTTCCTATAAATTATACATTAAATGTGTGCTTTTGCAATTTATAATTGAATTTTGTTACAGCGTGTCAGGAACAGGTGCAGTAGCGATTGATAATAAAATTGAACAAGCTATGGTAACTAACTTTCTTAATTAAAAAACACAATATAATTTTTATAAATATGAAAACTAACAATAATAATACTGTACTCCTTTATAGGATCTGGTAAAAAGTCATTTGATGTTTGCTGTACGAGAAGAAGTTGAGGTATTAAAAGAAAAAATCGCAGAACTTATGGACCGTATTAACCAATTGGAAGCTGAAAATTCAATCTTAAAAGCCCATGCTACTCCAGAAACATTGGCTCAATTAAGTCAAACAACAGCAAAATTACCCCAAAACAGTTCAGGAAGTGGTCAATAGGTAACCATTGTACATAAGTTTCTATCAATACTTTGTCAAGAACATAATATAATTATTGTATATAACTTTACGATTTTTAGAAATTTATAAATAATGAGATTTATTATATTATACATATTAGCATTAGTCTTTTTTTTTTTTTTAAGTAAATTAAAGATAATAGATTATTTTTTACTATTTCAGTTTATTGATTAGGAAATATATTTAAAACTGTACATTGAATTTTTCTTTCAAAATGGTCAACCGTTTTGGAAAAACATTGTTGCGATCCTAGACACAAGCAAAGACGTATATGAATGCATGCCAGGACTAAACAGCATACATAACCAGAGTTGATATTGTTTTACGATAGAATTGAAGATTTTGAACGTGTTAAAAGAAGATATTTAACGATACAAAATAGGCAGCTAGACATCCTTAATATAATTTTAATATTTGGCTAATTTGGATGATCATGTCAATGTAATAGTTTTAAAAAAAAACTAAATTTTCCGTGATTTAGATTATTATTATTAATATTTAAGTAACGAAATTAAAATATTACGTTGATTAAAGCGAAAATTATGTCGATAAAATAAAATATTAATTTGGTTTACATCACATTTGAGGATCTTATAGTGTACCGTTCTGTATTTTTTTAAAGATTATAATGCCAAAAAGCATTTGAAAGTATTGTTCCTATTACATATTTTAGTTATCTAATAATTTTTACATTGCATTTTGTAAGCTAAATCTTGGCACGACACTTTAAATTTTAGTACCATGGATGTCAAATCGCATAGTTTATATTTCGATACTCGTGTCAATAGTCTCGTTTTTAAACTGATATGTATTATATTTAACAACAAACAAGTGTCCAAGAAACTTATGGTGTGCATCTGAAAACTCGCAATATTTTGTCATTTTATGTTACATCTTATATGAGCCTAATAAAAAAATTTTTTCATTGTACGATCATTAGAATTTCTTAAAAGTCTTCAACGTTGCTTTTGTCGTAAAAAGCAAAAAGGAAATATACGTGATAATGAGCCAAAAGATTTATATTACACGATTTAAGTAAATGTAATGTTAATATATTATACATAGCCTATAGAATGTGAAATTACTTCTTTGAAAATACAGGTTACTTGATTGATTAGCACAATATAATTTTGGGAAAGTTTATTGGACCACTATAAAGACTAAATATGACACTTTAACATAAATCCTTATCAAGACAAAGACCGCTTTATGATAAGGGAAATTATAATTCATAAATACACCTTATAAATTTATAAATGTTATAAATTTTTCTATGAAAGAAAGAAAGAAAAACAACAACACATAACCATTTTCTTATGTCAATATCAGTAATGTGGCTTTTTTTTAGGGGAGGGGGACAAGCGAGCATGATGATCACTTGACAAATTCATACAAATCCGAAGTTCTTTGTTTTGATAGCAAGAAGTAGCTTATGCCGTAAAACATGACGAGAGCTGTACAGTGGAACGTATAGGCGAGAAATACATGTATTTGCAGTTGGTAGATGAGCATCATCGGCTGGTCGAATCGTGACACTTGGCATTGGTTGAAAACCATCTTCGCTCGCTGGTAATGCAGGAGACCCTGTCCAAAAATATACCTAAAACAATTAAAAAATAAAATAAACATCTTTTAAGTCATTTCAAAAAGGGTATTAAAACAATGAAAATGTTAATTTCTTTCCTTGACCAACTTGATATGTATATACATAATTTCATGTGTATGCAGCACATAATATCAAAAAAAATTATTACCAAGTCCTGTCGTTCAACGTGTGACATTTTTTCTACAATTGACCATAACCATCTCTTGAACTTTACTAATTTTTCTGTGGCTTCTCCAGATTCATCGTTAAAGGATGTGTATGATATCAAAACTGACACATTAATGTCACCAACTCCATTTAAAAGCAGTCTTAAGTCTTCAGATGTTAAACCATCCAATGCTCCTTCCGGAAGAACATCAAATACTCCTTCTCGCATTGTATGCAAGGCCTTCTCTTGTACTTTTATCATACGTACTTCTGCGTATTTTCGTACGTAATCATATACATTGCTAGCTGTAACTTCTATGTCACGACCACTTGTTATAAGTTCGATCGAACCACCGCCTTCTTCAGGACATAAATCAATGCTAAAAAAAGAAAAAAAGAAAAAAAAAAAAAAAAAAAGAGAAACCAAGATTAAATTACATCAATGCATGTACAATTCTTTCTGTTATATATATTTATTTACATATGTATATTTACCTAAAAGTAAGATCCAGTGTAATTAGTTATACAAATAAAAAAAAATGAAAAAAAAAAAAAAAAAAAAAAAAAAGAGAAACCAAGATTAAATTACATCAATGCATGTACAATTCTTTCTGTTATATATATTTATTTACATATGTATATTTACCTAAAAGTAAGATCCAGTGCAGAGAATAAACTGTTACTATCTTTAGTTTCAGCATCAATGACGAGTTGTCTCAAACTTTCATAAATTACAGAATCAAAAAAGGCAAGATCATGAAAACGTATTGGCCTTGCTAATATATATTTAATAACGTGACGATTTAAAAATATTGGACACAACTCGTTTTGTAATAGACATAAGCCTATTAATCTATTAAACGAAAATAAGAAGAAAATTAAGCGATTAACATAGCTACTTTTTAAATATAATTACGGGATGAATGTTTTGTAGAGAACTTACCTGCCTACGTTTCTGAAAGCATTTAGTCGTTCATAAGTGGCTCTACCTTGTCTGGGTGTATAAAAACCTCTTTTATCGGGTGAATAGAAAAGAGGAGCATTATCTTCTCCGTCATCCATAATATTAGTTTCTATCTTCTTCTTATTAGCTGCACAACGTTCAGTTAAACTGAATACATCAAGATCTAAAAGTGCTTCACTAGTTAAATCTTGATTATGACTATGAATCAATTCAAATGCTTCTTCCACTTTTTGTCTTAAAGCATCTTCTGAAGCCAAGAGCATCAATAATTGTGCCGGAGACAATTCGAGTAACATTCCAGTTATTTTTTCTGCTAATGCAGGTCGTAATGCATGTACCTAAACAGAGGATATAACACCATTATCCTTTTTACGCAAATTCCTTATTTTGTTTTTAAGAAAGATTCTTACTTTAGGATACAATCTATCACCAAGTTGTTGTTGATGCACTGTCAAATGTTCATTGTTAGGATGACTGGCCGGTAAAGGATGAGTATTGGATGATGAGCTTCCAGATCCAGATGCATTATTTCCCTCTACGGAACTTGATGGATGAAAGGAACGAGCTTCGAAAGATAATGCTTTACGTGTTTCACGACATTTCCCGGATGATCTAGGATTCTTAAATAAGATTTAAAATTTTAAGAAAATGCTCTTCTCGAACAGTCGTACTTGCATCTAATTTGGAATATTATGCACACCTGTCTTCTAAGATCACGATCGCGATCTCTGCTTTTTAATTTTTGTAAAACATTATACTGTGTGTATTTGGAGCCAACTTGTGCTGCTTCAAGACTTGGTAGTTTCTCGTTTGCAAGTAGGGCCTGAAGATAACAAAAGATTGGATTAATTCTCTAAGACGAGTAGGATATTGTAAATACGATGACTTTCAATATTTATGCATATTTTAATAGATAAAAAATATTTGTAAAAATTAAATCATGAATTCTGATATGCATTATTGAATAAGTACATAGTATTTACAATCTCCCACTCGTCATTTTTACAACTGTACATATGTAATTCTTAACATTAGGTTTACGGACATTTCTTATATATCTATCTTTACGAACATGCGTCAAATTGATGTGTGAATGAGAAACCACACATTAAAAAAAAAAAAAATAACTTATTTTAAGGCTAATTTTGAAATTAAAAGATTAAGAAAAAAATGAATTTGGATATATATATTTCATTAAATAGATAAAAGTCAGCATAAATGATAAGAGAGAAATGTAAACGGTTTAATTTTCGTAAATCTAATGATAAATAAAATTGATTGACAGCAACATTAAATATTATAACAAAATTATAAGATAATATAAATTTTAAATAATCCCTCACACTACTTTCATAATACAAACCTCAGCAATTGCAGTATAAAAACTTCTAGCAACACCTGAACCTTCACCTGGTTCATCTTTAAATGTTACTTTTACTCGATTTACTGCTAAAGGTGGAGAATTAGAAGTTCTTTTATTGTACAAATTGTATTGTGTGTTTAATTCTTTCATTGTTTGCACCAGTAATTGAGTTCTATCACGTTCAATCTATAAAAAGTGTATGAAATATTATTATTATATTAATATTATATAAAATATTCAATCAGCAGTAATTATTCTATTATTTAAATGCTTATATTTATTTCTTAATAAATTTTTTTGAATAAATATTTAGTATTACGCGCGTGTATGATATATAAAACTGTGATACTATGTATTATAAGTCAACAATAAAATTACTTTTGACAAAGTGATATCCTTTTGTTGAGAATTTCTAAGTTTTTCCATATTCCTACGGAATTTAGCTTCTTTCACAGAAAAACCGCCAAGTTCGGATACAATTGATCCTGCTTCTAAACCAACATCCTCCATAAAAACTCGACCAAATAAATCCAATGATAATCTCCATCGTCCTAATAGAATATTATGAGAAATATTTGTCCCAATATTTAAGATAGTTCTAGCAGATTCCACTGGACTTGTTACTACTGTTTCGTGGGCAGAAATTTCTTGACTCGTTACAGCGGGATCGACTTCTTCGGAGACGTCTGGATTTTCTACCGATGGAATGAACAGTATTTCAGGTGCAGTAAGTTTGTGTAAATTTTCCTATATGAAATAAAAAATAAATGAAAATTAACGATAGATATATAGATGAATGATAAAGTAATAGACTGCGTTAATGAAATGAATTGCTTACAACCATACTGCTAGCTGCTCTAACTATAACACTTCTATTTGCTTTACACAAATCTTTTGCAATCTTGCTATTTGCGGATTCACTTTGATTACTGGTAGATACTATAATCGGAGCCCTGTCTATATGTTCTAGTATTGGGTTTTGAAAAGTCATTTGCAATGGTGTCGTCAATGGTGCGTGATTTTCATTTACACGAAATACTTTAGTAGGTCTTTCCTGTAATAGATAATTATTTATGATCAATAAATATATGTATTAATAATTATATGTATAAATGATGATCAAGTAAATTAGTACAGAAAATTTTATTGATCCAGAATCTCCAGCAGAAGCAGAAGCAGAAGCAGAAGGTCGTCTTATTTCTGTAGAAGTGAATGTAGGTCCAGGAACAATTTGACCGAATGTAGAAGAAGACAAATTTTGATTGTCTGCACCACGTGCGGAGAGGCCAAGTCTTGTAGGTAAACCTGCCAATGGATTTTGGTTGGCAGTACCTGTTTGCTGTCGTGGGATACCAAAGAGATCCTCACGCCTTGAATGTGGCTGTAATAAATGCGGCTGATCAGCTAAAGGTAATGCTTCGCTCATAACTGTATCAAATGGATCGAGAGGTGGGCAACCAAGGCATAAGGTAGAATCTGATCTTTGGAAAAAAGGATGTTTTCTTCCTTTAGATGTAGAATTACTGTTTCCAGACCCACACATGGAAACTTGAAGTAAATCTGGATATTCTACAGAATCAGGTTCTAATGCATTAGGTGCTGGAGAATTATATTCCTCTCCTTCATCATTATCATTTTCATCCTAGAAAATAATAAAGAAAATTTTAACTTTTTCGCAACGAACTGTCTGTCTGCCATAATGTTTTTACTATATGAGATGCTGCGCCAAAAGTGTATGAGTTACCGCAATTAAATTTGCTTAGATAGTTTTTTAGAAAAAACAAATCTTTCCATAACGAAGGGATTAATGATTTTTTAACAAAGTCATTTTTAACTGAACTTTGAATAATGTGATATACGACGCCTGTTGTATTTCAAAGGCATCATATTGAGAATGACTATAATCGCCTGTCCTAGATAAATGTTAATGACGTAAAGTGAAATATTATTGATAAAATAGTATACTAACTTGTTCATGCCATGATGTGTAATTTGCTGATTCCTTTTGTGCTTCGCCTCTTGATGTTAATGGTTCAGAAAGACAGCGCATATAATATACAAGAGCGTCAAATACGTATGCTACATGTCTTAATGCAGAAACATCTAAAACTGGTAAACTGTCTCTGTGTTCTCCATTATGAGCGCGCATCAAAGATAAACAATAAGACAAAAACTCTCGTCTAGCAGAATGCAAATCACCACCTGTAAACAAAATGTATTTATTCATTTCTCTTACTTCACAAAGTGTCATTAGTTTTCTTGTTAGGAACCCAAAGTTTGTACTTAAAAATTAATTGTGCTCCTAGCTTCGGTGGTTAAGCTGGCAGTTTAATGTGAGTAAAATAGAAAGTTATTAAATCAACTCAATGTTTAGCTATATTACAGAAAATTCAAAATTGCATAAATATATAAAGCAATAGGAACATATCTTCACACAAACCTTCACGTTCTCTGCTATTCCTAGCAGGTTCACTAACACCAGCAAAACCAACAGTAAGTCTTGTCGAAGCTTGAGGAGCAGAAATATTGGAACTTGTTGCAATACCACTGCGTTGGTTTCGACTTGCATTTCCTTGTAATGTCAAGGAAAGAGCTGCCGAACTCAATAGTCCAGTAAAATTTCCGCCAGAAAGTGAAGGAGCATTATTAAGTGGATGTTCAGGATGTGTCGGATCGGCACTACGAGTCAAAGACACTCCAAATCTTAATTGTGCTTCGGTTGCATCCATAACTGTTAAAAGCCAATCCCATGTAGGTTTCAAATGTGCTTCTAAATATAACTGCAAAAAATACAATAGAAATATTTAATTTTGTAATTAGATTAGACTATTTGAAAAATATCCACAAGAATAGCAAAATTAATACCTGTAAGTTTAGTGCATCTTGGAGAGTAATTTCCATTAGTTGTGGTAAAGTAGGTGCTAATGTTTTGTAATCTTGCATCATAACTAATAGATCAGCAATTTGTCGAATGACAATTCCAAACGCTCGTGCCAAACAACTTGCAGTGGTTCCCATAGTTATAGGTTCTTGTGCAGCTGCAACGGCAGATGTAGCAGTAGTACGTCTCAGAGATACAGGATCAATGAAAACTAAGTTACTGCCACCAGTAACTCGTAAGCCTGCAGTACGTGTACTTGACTCACGATTACGAATAGCCCATTGCATAGAAACGGGTGCCAGATTGTTGCGATGCAAATGACCAGATGATCCACTAAATTAAATAATTTATATATTATAAATAAGTTACACAGATAAACATCAATAACAAAATTACGTTATACCTTCTACGTTCCAATTGTTCATCTCCATTTTGAAAATCTTCATTATCTTGTTCATCTGTTTCGCCTGCTTCACTTTCATCGTCTTCTTGTTGACTAGATTCACCAGATTCGTCTTCAGGAAATAATAATATTGAACCCATGCCACCATCAGATCCTGCAGTAGCTCCAGTTTGTACACTTCTTTGAGCAGATGCCGCATCTTGATTACTATGATTATCGTCCGAATCAGATTCAGTTTCAGCTTCAGCCAAAAGGTCTAATTCTGTGTCAGATTCCCCTTCTCCTGCTTGTTCTTCTCCAACACCACCTGCATTGCTGTCAACTTCACCGAGCGGCTGGCCAGCAACTGTACCGGAAACACCTGGTTCGTCATGTTCACTTATGTCTCCATCCATATCCATATGGACATCTTTAAGCAAGAAAAGTACGATTATAAATATTTAATAATTATATAATAATTATCATAATATAAATATTACCTTCTCCACCTTCAACTTCATCCATTGCAGAAACATCTCTTGCAATAGTTATGTTATTATTTACTTGTTGCGTTTGTAAACCACCATCTAAAGTTTGAGAGCTAACTCCACTGTGAGGTATTAATGGCTCTATAGAAAACAATTCTTCAGATCCATTTATTACTTCGACAGCAGAACTAGTTAACGTGAATGGTGCTGTTGGACGTGCTACGCCTAATCTTACTGGAGCTATTAATGAATCTGCAGTTTCACATAATTCTTCAATTGCCAATTTAATTAAGGCTTGAAAAACTTTACGACATTTCATTAAAGGTTGAGATGCTTGACTTGCACTAAAAATAACATTTTTATTATTATTATTTCAAAGTGGAAATAGCGATAAGAATAATTTTTTTCAACGAATTTATACCTTTTTCTTTTTGCTGTATTAGGTGCCATTTCGATAGTAAATATTACGAATATTCGAGCTACAGATCTTACAAATCGTCGAGCAACATTGTTTGCTTCTTCTTGTCGTCCAGGTATAGTATCATTATGCAATTCTCTTATAAGAGTAATAAGTAAAATATCAAGCATCTAAAAAGTATATAATATTTTAAGAATTAACATTTCTATACACTTCTCTGAAATTCTACATTAAATTAGAAATAATAGTAATGGATAAATAAATATAAAATTACTTCTGTACTGCATTTAACAAGTAACAAATGGGTAAATTTATCTAGTAATGCTGTGCCACTCTGACGACATAGTTGCCCTTGATCTCCGAATAATTGTTCATTCCCATTTTCCGATACTCCTGACATAATCATACACTGAACTGCTGACCAGTCATTTAACAATCTTTCGAGAGCATTTCGGCTAAAACGAGGTGGTTCTAAATCATGATCAGGCATGTCGGAATCAGCACCTAATCCTATTAATAAATATTTTTATTATTATACATATATATTATATCTATATACATATAAATATGGGTATATATAAATATATATAATAATAAAAATATATTATACCATCCGAAGAAGGTGCTTTACGACTTGCAGATGTTGATCGAGGACGAGTTGCTGGTCTAAATTGACGTTGTTCTATGAATTGCCTTCCTACTGTCTGGGCCAAAAATAATAAAATGCATTCTCCTCTTGAATTGATTTTTGTGGCAAGATCAGTATTGACCACAAGTCGACATAAGAGATCATAACGTGCAACTTGATAACCAGCTATAAGTGCACGACATTTACATTTTTCCCAACAATCGCAATATGCCGTTGGTGATGTTCTTTTAAGTTTGCAGTCGTGTCCTCTATGGCAAACACGAGCACATTCGGTGCAACAGCATAAAGATCCTGTTAAACCGCAGGTTCTACATTCAAATATATCTTGATTGATATGATCTGCACCAGTCCATGTAAAGCTACAAGTGTCGTTACAGCAAGTCACGAATAAAGGAGATAAATCCGGATTAGCATCAGGAGGTAGAATCATTGCCGAACATTCTTTGGAATCTCTACCAACTTTTTGAATAGTGTCTAATAAAATTAAAGCTGCATGATATGCACGAACAGACACTGCAAGCATTAATGGTGTTTGTCCTTGAGCATCCTTTGCTGTAAGTAATTCTTTCAAGTGAGGGGCTAATACATTGTTTTCACACATGTACTTCAGTATTAGTATCGCATTATTCTTTCTTTCATTGGAATCTACAATATACGTATTATTGGGTGCTGCTCCTATACTAGGTTTATTCATCATAGAAATACTAGCAGCACCTATACTAAGCAAACTGTCTTCTTCTCCAGATGTGTTGTCGAATGCCTCAGGTGGCCAACTCAAAGTTGGTATTGGTTCTTCAATAGGCGCTGAGGTATTATCTGAATTTGATACCATTGCATACCCAAATTCTTTTTCACTTTTTTTGTTAGAAGTCGGTGCACACATAGTAACACAAGCATGAAGAATATTGCGATTACCATCACAACGTTCTAATAGTATTGACTGAATTTGAGCCGTATTACCCTTTACATCTTGTTCTAAATTACAAAATACTTGTTTAACACTATCATAATCGCATCTCAGTATACGTGACATTAGTAGAAGATTGTCAAACGCCAATGCAATTACTGCAACTTGATTTTTGAGATGTATTGAATTAGAGCAATTTGGTATGGGGATAGTTGATGTTCCAATGCAAACTACTGGAAGTAAGTCTAACCAATTTGGATCTCGAATAGCATCAGCACAATCTTTTGCTATTGGATAAATTGTATTATTTCCATCTCTAAGTATCATGGAACATTCAATATTTTCTCCAGCACTTGTTAAATTAATATTTTGAGGCTGTAATCCTAAGAAAGCATTAATATCTGAAGGAATATAGCAATCTTGGACATATCTTCCTGTACTTAAATTATACACAACATAGCTCAACTTATTTCCACTTTTTAATATTCCATGAATTCCCTGCCCGTCTGTTGCAATAGTTAAAAGATTATCACTCGAGCCCTCTACTATATTAACTCTTCTAGGTGTACGTTGGAAACAATCGGGTGCTCTCGGATTCATCGATGATTTAATAACTTGTAATTCATCTTTTCTTAGTAGTCTACAGTCTGCTAATAATTTGATCAATTCCTCAGCTGTTAAATCTTTAAAATCAGACGTACTGAAATCTTTCTCTTTAGTTTCTTTCTCCTTTTCTTTTGAATCTTTTGAAAAGAACTTAACTGCTACGTAACAACCATCGACTTTAATGACTTTCCCGATGGGAACGGTTTTAACATCTTCTACAAATATCACATCTTTTAACTGCCAATCTTCTTCATCCTTTCGCTCGGGTTCTCCTTCATTTCGAGGTGTTAAACGTTTTTGTCTCTTATGACTTGTTGTGATGCTACCTGTGTCGCTACATGTACTAGAAGCAGGCGAAGGAGGTGGTGGCATATCAAGACGATCAGCTGTTTCTTTATGATTTGACTTATTTATAGAAGTATTTCCATTTCCATTTGATTCGCGTTTATCAAAATTTGAATTAGGTAAATGTGATCCAGCAGGTAATATTTTAAATCTGCAAGTTGCATCTAAGTTCCAAGCAGCTGATAATAGTTGTCCTACTTTTGGTACTCCATTAGCTATTGTAAATCCTATAAAAAAAAAATATTTTAAGAAAGTATATAGGATACTTCCTAGTATATGATATCGATTCTGTTTTTTTTGTTTTATCAAAAACAATTTAAATAATTTACCTATTGCACCAGGTTGATACATCGGACTGTTTTTCATGCAAACATGTGTACCGTAACTAATGTCATTTGATATCACTGTAGATGGTCTATGTTTACGTGATTTTGCTTTATATTTTTCCCATAATTTTTTACGCTGAGAAAATGGCAAAACTCCCCTATTTAAAAAAAGAAAAACAAATAGTTAATTGTAATTTCTTAATTAGGTAAATAATTAATAAAAAACGTATAATACTACTAACCACCAATACAATGCACCACTTTCAAGTTTTGCTACAGTATATAAAGCACATGTATGAAGTGATACAATTTTGTCCAATGTAAATTCAGTAAAAGCTTGTGCTGGATGTTCCAAACGAGAAGCAACATGACCCAAAAGTTCGTCTAACCACGTAGCTACCTTGCCACTTTCTGTACTAACAGAACAGCGAATTGCTGTTGCTGATATATTAACTATTTTTTCTGTTAATAATGCTAGTGGTATAGTTTTTGGATGATGGACATTTGGATTCTAAACATGGAAAACTATATTATTTGTATCGTGTTTCTTTACGTAAATTTTAAATTAATACATATATACAATTATAGGTACCTCTAAATGTTTGTAAGGTTCCGGATCAGACCATTTCCATTGGTACAATTGTCCAGATGTGGAAACAGCTATTAATTCGCTGTAAAGTGCAGCAATTTGAACAAAACGTGGAGCAGCTTCATTACTACGTTCGTGCCACCACTCCAATTCTTCTGATATCCATAAAGGGCTTAGAGAAGCTAATTCCTTTTTTTTGTTTTCTATAAATATAAAATAAAATAAAATAATTTTTATACACATTTATATCTTTTAACATTTAAAAACTAGTGTATATATGTCGATCAAAGTATATTTACCAGGATCTTTCTCCCAAGAATCTTTTAGAGCAGTTTCTAACCAACGTCGTGGTCCGTAATATTGACGATCCCTCCACCTGCTAAAACTGTCACGGTCTCTATCACGTTCAGATGAACGTTCTCCTTCTCTGTCATTACCAAGTCTTCTAGAAGAACTTCCACGGCTAAAAAATATAATATCTACTATATATCTACTTTTTAGTATCTATATATAAATTGAATTTAAATTTGAATGAATTCATTACTGCCGTATGCCTGCATAGCCAAACATGTCTTCAGAAAACATAGAGTCTGCATCGATTATAACAGAATGATCATTATTACTAAAGCCTCCATCTAATAAAGAGATAAGATCTTCTGGTACATAACTATCTGCTGCATCATCGGCATCATCCCCTTCTTCATCATCACGTGACAAAAGATTATTCACAGCTAAGTTCACATCTAAATTAGTACGCTGCAAAAATATGTAATTTATACAGTTGCATAAGATAATTGATGATTAAGTTATAAAATAATAACCTGCAATTCTCTGATAATTAAATTGCGACTTTTTCCTTGCAATACTACTTGAGCTTGAGATATTAGATCTTCTGGTACAAATGGAGCAGGAACTGAAGCAATAGGACGTGAGCTGTTACCACTTCCGCTTCCCATGATCACTCCAGGAGGTCCTATTCTTCCACTGCTACCACTACCTCCACTATTACTACCACCCCGAATAGCAGAACTGCTTCTCATAATCCTTGCCCTTGAACGAGAAATACCTGCTCTGCTACCACTTCCACTATTTCCGCTACCACTAGGAGTAGAATTCGAATTTCCAACATGGTTTTTGGTTGTACTGAAATAGCATAATGTACAAATATCAGTTTCAAAAGAGTTCATTTTATTAAGTATTTAATCTATTCTTTAAATATAAAAGCATGATACATACTTTCTGTTCGGTTCAGTTTTACTTAAATCCAGTCGATCAGACAATACTGTAAATGCGACACGACAGATTCTATTGTCCTCTGTGAGTAAGGCTATATGAGTCGGACCAATGACAATACGTTTTATTGGAACCTTTAATCCATTAAATGCAGCTGGGGTAACATAACCGTATCTATTGATCTTCTCTGCAACTTCTTTAAACCTTAAATAAGAAATAATAATTAAATTTAATATACGCTAATTTTCAAAATAATAGACATTAATTGCTTACTTAATTTAACAATACGTAAAACTATTTATTTTGTATGTAATAGTAAATGTTTTATTATTCACATACACACACATTTAAAATATTTACTTAAACTAATATATTTTAGCAAAAATTATATATAAAATGAATGCATGAATGTATGATATATATAAATTTTAATTTTATATATCCTTGTTATGATTGTAACTAATAAGAAAAAATAAATCAATTAAATTGTAAATGTGAGTATTATATGGTAATATAATGCGAATAAACACATACATAATATGTGTAATAAATACTTTAGAATAATTAATTGGTTTATATATATACACACATATATATGTCACTATTACTACATATATATGTATATATATATGGCACTATTACTATATATATATGTATATATATATATATATATATATGCCACTATCATTAGAAATTAGGATATAAAAATATTCTTTAGTTTATTTTATAAAAATATGTTATCAATATGCTACAGAATTATTGTATGCTTCATAAATATATTAAGTATTAGATATTTTCCGAAATATGTGCTAATTTAATGCAATCCATAATGAATAATGACAAAGTGAATTATATTATTGTAACTCATTTAATAAAAAAAGTATGAAATTAAATTAAAACGAATCGAAATAACGAGAAATTAGATAAGTAATGGTGCTCATTAACGTATTGTTCAATTTCTCCTTAATGTCTTCTTGATAAATAGGTTTAGAAAAATTCGATAATCAAAATGAGTAACTCTGCAAAGAAAAATAAGGAGGAAACATTTCATTCGAATAGATTAAAAAAATGAAAAAAAAAACGAGAAAACTGAACGATTAGGATATAGTTTGGTAAGGGATAAAAAAAAAACGGACGAGTACGGATTAAATTCCATGGTAGAATAGTCAGCAGACATTCTGAAAGACAGATACATCCATTACAGCATAAGGAATACTCACCTATCGTTAAGTTGATCATCGGTTCCCGGTAAAGGATGAACGACAAAGTGTATCGAAGTCATCTTTGCTTATTGTGATACGCTTTTCTTACCGAAAAATATCTTAAAACATGTTTACACAGAATTTCACTACACAAGCGAAACGATTTTCTTCGGCCATGTTTCCTTCGGAAACATCCAGTTCTGCGTTCCTAAAAGTAATATGGCCGTACTATCTCTCGATGTATTCACAAATACACTGAAGATTATCTGATACGATATTACTTAGAAAAAATCAACGAAATATTATTTCTTTATTTTTCTTTTTACAAACGAATAAAAAAACTGTTTATTATTTAATGTGAATAATAGTACAAAAGCTCCACGCGTATAGAGAACTCCAATGGTTATGAAGTTACGATAAGAAATATGTGATTACATCGATTTGACGTGCGTGACGTCACGCCACGATAGAAAACACTAGAAAAACTTACTTAATGTATACATTATACCGATAAATTTTTATTATTCACAATTCGTGATTATTAAAAATATGAGTATTTTCAAAACTATTTATTTTATCTATACTATCATATCTTACTAGACAAATAAATTTATTTTTATTATTTACTAGAGAGTTAGAAAACTTCAAAAAATAAAATTAACTTTATTACTAAAAACTAATTGAAAATAATACTAATTTATCTATAATTTTGTTAATCTATTATAGATAAATTTTGATTAGAATTATGATAATAAATGATCATTGTTAGAAAGGTACAAAATATCCAAATGAAACGTAGTTTCTTTTTTGATTAGGAAATACTTGATATCATACAACTATTCCTATTGGTTGTCATCCTTCAAGAAATGGAATAAATTAACTGTTTTCAATATATTTTACATGGAATTTCAAAATATATTATTTTATTCAAATTTATTTATATTTAATATGAAAATATAAAGATATTTATATAAAAAAAAAATTTATTAACTGATTACATTGTTGCATGCTAAATAATTTTCATTAACCTATCAAAAAGATGATTTAGAATAGAACGAGATCACACACACATTGATTGGTGGATATAATATTATTTAAAAATGAAAGTTTAAGAGATAAATAGATAATTTAGGAAAATTATATTAAAAAATAATAATATTTTAAAAAAAGATAGAAATTCCTATAAAGAACTAAGGCTTATTAAATTATATTATAAAAAGAAAGACATATACATAGGTAAGTGGGGAATAAATAATAATTAACAATAAAGATGGCTGCATATAATAGCATTAGAAAATAGAAATTTCGAATATTATAAAAACAAAAAAAATCAACATTTTAAAACATTAAAATAAATTTTGTATGAAATTATTTAGTAATGACTTATTAGAGAGTTCATTGACCCTTTGAAGCGAATGGTTGATCCATTCTTGATTGGTCACTTTTTAACATAGGTTTTACGCAGAAGCAAGTATAGAACGCATCTTATTGTATATTGCTGAATGAAATACTATATGCGAAAAAACTAAAGCAAATATATCTTGATTTTTTTCTGCAACTTTAATGATTTCTTTTAAAAACGTCCAATAATAATAGTAACATTGAGAAGAATTAACAGTGTTATTGAAAAAAGGAGAAAATTAAGGCCAAAAGAAAAAAAAAAGAAAGAAAATAAATAAATAAAGAGATCAAGAAAGAGATCGTGAATTGTCTCTTCGTGGTCTTTCTTAATACTTTGTAGCGCATCCGCGTTTCACGATTCTCTGGATTAATTTACATTTGTGTAAGTAAAAGTATATGCGTATGTATATACATACTTACTCGTTTCTACGAGACCATCGGAAAACGTGTACACTTTCGAAGAGATCTGTTAAAGAATTATTTTCGATAATTTTTCTTTCTATCCGATCTTATTCTAAATTTGGCTAAACAAAATTAAGCGATATAATATCGTGTCGTGAAAATATCTTCCTAAAAGAGATCTCTGCCATTTGTTTTCTCTTAAACGAATAATTTTGACTTTATCAACGAAGAAAGGAACATATTCAATACGTTCATTTTAATTTTGGCAGGTAAGTGATTTATTCATTTGATTTGCCCTAGAAAACATTTTGAGAAAGCTAGCCTTTTTTATGTATGAAATCTTCTTTGTTATGTATTAAAATTAGTAACAGGATCGAATATATAAATAAATATAAATATGTTTTTATTACAAAAATGGTTTTGAGTAGATTATACAGCTGGTATATTAGTTAGACATATTTTTAGGCTTATTGCTCTTTAAATAAAAGTCTTTCTAAAGGTGTGCAATAAAATAATTTTTTCATTAATTAATATATAATTAATTAAATAATAATTATATTGAAAGGTGTAAAATGTTTTTTTTTGCGCTGATCTTTATTCGTATGATCTACAAAAATATCTGTACTGTTCATTTGTAATAAGTTTATTTTTCTGATGTAGAATGGCACGAGGACAACAAAAAATACAATCCCAAGCAAAAGCAGCAGAAAAAGCTGCTAAAGTAAAGAAACAACAAGGGCATAGTGCTAATGAACAAAAAAAGGCAGCGCAGAAAGCGCTAGTTCATGTATGTTCGGTTTGTAAGGTAAGAACATTTAAATATATAGATGTATTTGTGTTCTGTGTTAAGTGTGTTATTATACTGTTTTATTTAAATAATATTATATTGTTATCATTATTTTATTAGGCCCAAATGCCAGATCCAAAAACCTATAAGCAACATTTTGAAAACAAACATCCTAAGAATGATCTACCTGACGATTTGAAAAATATATGAGGGTACGAATGCTTGCAAGGAATCGCACATAAGCATGAAGAAAGAGAGAAATAATAACTACAATTGAGTGATATAGTTTAAGATTCATCCAATATTAAAATAGTTTCAAAACAAAGAAATAAACAACACCCTGCTAGTGTTTTTAAGGAACTGTTTCACAGTTACAGAGATGAATTATCATGCACACTCTAATCATTTGTGTATAATTCATGATGTGCTTGTGGTAAAATTTGATTTGTAAAGAAATACCTTAATTATTCATATAAATCAAACCTTTAACTACTTTTAAACATAGCACGAATACATCAGAATCTGTACATTACTAAATAAATAATTTAATGATTTTAGTAAAATAATAATTTCAGAAAAAATGTGATTTAATTTAATAAGTTATAAAAAATGGTCAATTTCTTGTCTATTTTACAAACAGAAATTGCCATGCGAAAGATGAAATAACTTGAGAACTTTTAAAAATTTGTATAATCTAGAAAAAATATTATATATCACCGAATAGAATAATTAAAAGTTACAATTTTCGTGTGACAAACATAATAAGTATACTATCCAGCTTTTAATTTTTTATAAAAACATTGCCACATCAAATAATATATTTTGAGATTATTTGCTTTTGTTACTTTATTAAAAAATGTCTAACAACAAAATAACTGCCAATTTAGAGAGATTGTATCGATTATTATCTAAGCAAATACAATGTAGCTGAAGTCCTTTTTATATAGAACTTTATGTTAATCTAAGAATAATGAAAAAAAAACACGATTTTAAAACTTTAACATGGATGAACGGTATGTTAAAGAGCGAAGTAGAAAATTGTACTTAAATTGTTAATGTTATAACATATAGGATTCTGGAGACGTTGATCTATATAAATATATAGACATAGTATCTATAAATATATATATATATATATAGATCAAGTGAATTTATTTCGTCACATCATGCGCTTCATTTGCCCATATGTGAATATACGAACATCATTTAGCATTAATTCAGATATATATATATATATTATTCTTTTAGTATTACTCTATAGAATTAACAGTAATATTTAATTATATATTGTATTTTCAAAAATAACTTCTATATGATTTTCAAGAGACGTACATTGCTAATGTGTTTATTTATGATCTTCATTAAATTTAACGTCTGTATTGTGAAAAAAGTTTAGAAATAAATTCATATATGTATTCCGTATTCTATTGTAAGTATATTTTTAATATTAGAATATCATAATGTTGTTTTATGCGTTTTATTTGATTAAGACGTAAAGACATAAATATAGATATCTTCCCTATATGAGTCATTCATAAGAAAAGTAAATATATTACGTTGTGAAAGTCTGTACGATAGTTTTGCTTTTGATCTAGAATGTAATATCAACTGTACAATTAATTTATTTAAAAAATACAATTTTGACTATGTTTGTTTGAATAAAACTTAATATAAAAATTATAAAAATAATTATGAATTATTAATAAAATTCTAAACGAATTATATCGTATAACTTGCAGTAATCACATTTTTATTCCGAGAGTTTAAAAATTAGATAATTTATTTGCTACGTTTGCAGAGACGATGAATATTTATATCAAAAATTGATAATTTCAAGATAAATTTATGTAGTTATTTTGAAAATATACATTTACTGTTATAAGAAAAAAAGAAAAGAAAAAATATTATTTATTCAAAAGATATTTTATCGCGTCAAATTGATCTAGTAAGAAGATGAAAACATTACATCATATTACGATGAAACTGAAATTCATCACTTATGATGAAACTTGATTACCACGTGTTCATTAGACAGCACGCAGAAGAGTGTCAATTTGTCAGAGCATATATAAGTGTCAAGTAAGCAACTGACTCTTCAGTTTTCAATTAGATTCGGTGAAGTTTTTATATTATCATCTCATATTTCTTGTTTCTCATAATATTAATATAAATACAAACAAGTTTTACAAGAAGGCAATATTTGACGCAAGTATAGGTACGAAATCTACAAACGTTATATAAAAAAAAATTATATATATAATATATATTTTATTATTATAATTATTATTTTTTTAAACATTTGCTTATTGTAAAAATATATTAATTTATTGTAAAATCCACAAATTTTTTATTTCGTAATAATAAATAATTTATTATTATTTAGTATGATAATATTTGTAATTTACCATAAGTTGTTGAAAAATATTGTCATTATTTATTCGTATATAGAAAAGAAAAAAAAAAGGACATAATATTATATAAAAATAATTATTCTTTATATTTAATGATCACATAGCGAATTGTTATAGATAATTAAATACGATAATCTCGAGTCACACAATCGGTCTTGAGCATATAAAATCTTTCGACTACACATATGGATAATCCCAATGTATGACGATATCAAATTACGAATTATATCTCGAAATATCATTGAATACACTTGATTAGAATTATTTTTATCGAGTTGGGAGCAGTGAAACATGAATTTCTATCAGTTAACAGTTCTTACTTTAATGACAAGTTTTAAAAAAATCGTATATTGTTATTTTTAAATTAATGATCGATAGCCAAAAGAGTTTAATTTATTTGAATTTAAAAATTAAAATTGCGCTAAACGGTGATATAGATACAAAAGTAAATACATTTCGTTGCTTCTTTTTGAACATTTAGAATATCGGTGGGTCGATGTAGAATGATTTTTTGTTTGTTAAATATACGATCAAAAAATAGGCAAGGAATAATAATTATTTCACGAGATAAATCGATCTTTTTCGTTGTTCTTCTTCAGTGATTTTCAAATAGTATCAAGAAGCAAAGTATCACGATGGTGGATTCCGTCTTTTTAACACGTTCGTTTGGTACACCAGCGGAAGGTGTAAAGGATCAATATGCCGATGGAAAAGCTGCCAAAGTATGGGAGATCTTTATCGGCGATAAAAATCAAAGGACACAAAATTATCGAGACTTTTTGGTTGGTCTCCTTAAAGAAAAAGGATGCAAGAGAATCTTAGATGTTGCCTGTGGTACAGGCGTTGATTCCGTGATGCTCCTTGAAGAAGGTTTTGAAGTCGTTAGTGTTGATGCTTCTGATAAAATGCTCAAGTATGCTCTCAAATCCAGATGGGAGAGAAGAAAGGAATCAGCTTTTGATAATTGGGGTAAGAATTGGTCATTTTATTTTTTATTTTTCTCGATTCATTATGAAGAAAGTTATGAAATTATCGTGAACCGCGTACCGTGATATAGCATTTATCCATCATTGTATTGATTGACGAAAATATTTATATGAATATCGTATTTTCTTATCTATTAAGTGGGTGATACTAAAATTGATGAGTAAGGAAAGGGTCAGTATGTTATCGATGAATCGAAGTGCTTTATATCGTATATTCTTCTCTTCCATCATTTATCTTTTTCATTATAATTGTTAATAAATCTTTGATAGCTTCTATTTCGATGACGAATATTTATTTCTTTTTCTCTTTCACTTCTGACTTCTGATTAATTTATTTTTCAGTGATCGAGGAAGCAAACTGGCTGACATTATCGAAAGATATCAGTCATCTAATCGGAGACGGTTTCGATGCTGTTATTTGCCTTGGAAATAGTTTTGCACACATGCCTGATTCATATGGCGATCAAAGAGAACAAAAGTATAATTTTTAATAAATAATTAAATAAATAAATAAATAAATAATGTATATTTGTATATCTAATCTCATTTTTATTCCATTAACTTTCTAGACAAGCCTTTGCTAACTTTGAACGTTGCGTCAAACCAGGTGGATTGTTTTTGATCGATCACAGGAATTACGATTATATCATACAAACCGGAAACACACCATCGAAATGCATATACTATAACGTGAGTATCACGATAATATTTATTTTTATAAGATAACAAATTATTTATAATAACAATAATAATAATAAAAATACATTTTCTAGAGTCGACATACGACAGACATAAAAACGTCAGTACTTTTTATATCAGGCAAACCAGCTATCGTTACTCTGGATTACATGATCACCATCGACGGAAAATCAAATAGAAATAATTCGGATAATATTAACGAATTTAGATTATCCTATTATCCTCATAGATTGAATGTTTTTAGCGAAATGCTTGCAGAAGCATTTAGATTTAAAGCAAACCACACAATATATGCTGATTTTAAACCGTTGGAAATGGTAAAGAATCCTGGATTTTACATTCACGTGCTGGAAAAGTACTAATGTAAATTAAATGATCTCTTTACGAATCCACAAAGGAAATAATTTCACGACGATGTGTGTAATTATTACATTATTTGACAAATCGCAAACATACGTCATATTTTGCGAGAGATGAATTTTTACTATAGGAGTTACACAATCGATTTTTTCGTGGGATCAAGAAATATGTACATACATACATAATTCGAAATTACGTTTGTGAGTTATTCTCTATTTTCTTGGGTAAGAGATACGAGGAGAAAATTATAACTCGAAGAGTGAAGAAAAAAATTCTCTTAGAATGGTTGTACATATATCAAATTGTTTTGTAATGTTATATACTATAGAAAAAATGTACAATCGTCTAAGTATGATCATTCTCATCAATGTGATAATAATATAAAGTATTTAATATATACAGAGATATGTGGGAGATTGAAGAATAAAACATTTGTTACCAATTTTGTGATCTTTTTTAATTATAAATTCGAAAGACACTTCACCGGTGTTTCGAGCGATCATTGACGAGGATAGTTTTCAAAGATGAGTTTGTGCTCTATTTGTTTTCGGTACCTTCAGTTTTGAATGAGGCTTTTCTCTTTTACGTTTTTTTCTTTTATCGTTTGTTCTTCTCGCGAGATTATCTGTTGCCTTATTTTTATTGAAACAAGTCTTTTTTTATCGCTATTTGGTAAGAATAAAAGCGAATTCCAAAATAGTGAACTTTGACTTGAATAAATAATATTTATCAATCTCTCTTTCTCTTTTACTGTACTGTATTTTTTCGATAAAAAATATAGTTTCTTTTTCGATCTGAAAGATAATAATGCTATCGAAGCTTCGGAAATTTCCTCGTCAGTGATCATCCAAATTGAAAATGATCGAAATCAGCTTGCGTGGGATTACTCGCTTCTTTTTTATTCTCCATATTCTTTCGACTTCACAGATTCCAAAATTAAATTCGCTAATTGTTAAATTTGAAAATACAATTTTTGAGATAGGATCGATATTGATTATTATATAAACGATTTTTATATAAAATATTTTATTTTAATTTTCTTTATACGTTTTAATTATATTTGTCTTAATAATATATTAATATATAATATGTATATATGTTAATTTTACTGGTAGATTTAACTTTCGAAAGCTCCAAGGCATTAAAAATTGTTCAAAGTTCCATGAAAATAGATCAGTTATGTACAATATGTATTTTTTCTTGTTTCAATTATTCATGTGAATAATGAAGCGAAAAATATCCTACTTAAATTCAATTTCAGTTGCAAATATAAAAATAAAGATTATATATCGGGCCAGCAGATATTATAATATTCACAATTTATTATATAATATAGATTTATATTTTGTGTCTGTTATATACGGAAGTCCAACGCGATTGTGTGTAAATTTGCTATTGTATTTTTTACGTAAAAAAATATTTTTGCGATCAGTGATTCATTAGTACCATGTATAATTTTAAAAATGATACAATCCATATCCGAGTACTACATGATTCTATTATTTTCTATTAAAATTCTACTTATTGTCTACGAAAAACATAAGAATGGAATGGAACTACTTTACCGACACTTAGCTACAATTTAAAATGACGAGGAACTACTTTATCAACATTTGACTGCAAATTTAAAAATGAAATCAACCAAAGATTTGAAAATAAAATAGAACTACGTTACCAAACGATTATTAAAGATTTTTTCCTATTGCACGTGTTAAGTAACGCGTAATTAACAAACCCGGATCTTGATTTGTGTAATGTATTTGTGAATTTCCATTTCACAGATACTTACATATTTAAAATACATGTTCAAAATTATTGGCTTCAGTGTACCTATATTATATGTTTCTATTAAGTAATGTAATACAATTAGTAATGTAAATCAAAAAACTATTCTGCTAATATTTTTAATCCTTTTTCTTCTCTGACACTAAAGTTTTGGATGGCTTAGATGGAAAAATAACAAACAATGACAATTGAACAACCGATAGAAGGAAACCGACAGAGTTCTGAAACTATAATCATTTCATTCAATTATTTCTACCCTTCAAATCTTAAATAAAAATGTATATTATATTTTTAAATTAATAAATGTACTTACAATCACGAAAATGTTATTTATAATAATTCCATATAACAACCATTGGAACGATACTGCGGTACCCATAACAATAAGCGGGAATGGAAGAATCGACGTATCTTTAGTCTTTATAATATTTCCCTGTAAGTATAGAATATAATAAATATAGAAAAAATATGAACATATATTTAATATTGTAAACAATCATATATATATTTTTAAGTATTATACTTACAAGATGTATAAGAGGAGACGCTATTAAAAGATAAAGTAAAATGGTTACGATTATACCAAATCTGTATTCTACTTTGTCGGGATGCTCCATTTGAGCGTACGTTAGGAACATTGCTATTAGACCCACTGCTTTGCTTATTAACATAAGCGTATCTTTCTGGAAAAATAATCACATATGATAAGAATTCTCATTATAATCTTATATTTTTAATAAATCTAATCCTATAACTATAGATAAGAGAAATGAACGAATGTCGGATTTGCTTTTATAGGATATAATGAAACATATCCGGACAAGGTATTCATTGATTGAAAAATGGTCGCATGATTACATAATTGCTTTAATATCTCAGGGCAATTGTAATCAATCTTTTATTATCAACCGCAAGAGAATAGCGGCTTGTACACACACATAATTTCTTAATTAGTTGAATATTTATTTAGAATTTATAATCGTTAAATATATCATTTTTGAATTATGATAGTATTCATTTCCCATAGGATTATAGGGTGTACTGTTTCAGGTACACGTAGCAAATACTAATAACACCTGTTAGTCAAATGCAACTTGGCAGGGACTATGTTAATAAAACGAAACATCTTACCGTATGTGGAGAATAATAGTAATACACAGCCATATATATTACGTTTGTTACAAATCCAAAAACATTAACTTTAACCATGACAGAATCACCAAGCATCAAAGCATAGCGCAGCATTAATATTGTCCTGCACGAAGTTTTTATCGTTAATATATTATTCTTACTTATTTTTATTTTAATAATATTTAATGATAGAAGATATTGAAATAAGAAATTAATAATTAAAGTACAAGATAAGATAAAAGTCGCTTAGCCCAGAAAGTTTTTGCATAGAAACAAAAAGATTTGTTTTAAGTAATGTAACTTTTATTCCATCCAGTATATATTTTAATTATACAAGCATACAATTAATTATTAATTTATTAGATTTTTAATATATTTACAAAATATAAATAAGACTTGATACTTACATTCCTATACCACCTAAGAAGGGCATAGGATCGAAACCCTTCGAAGTTCCCTTTTTGTAAATGTCTTTGCATACAAAACTAAAAGAAAATATTTATTAATTTAATTAATTATTTTATTTCTTCTTAGATTCTATATAATAATTATTATCATTTAGATGTGTAATCGTCACGTGCTTGTTTCTCAAATGTCGCTTCAGTCTATTCTTTTCAATTAGTATATATTATGTATAAGTTTATATTTTTTTTTTCTTTTGATATAGGTATTGCATTAGATACTCACGTTCCTGACAACATGTGTCCTATTGTCGTAATTGCAGCACATGTTCCAACAATATCTTTGTATTCTTCTAAAACCATTTTTCGTTATAATTTCGTCTAAATTTCCTCTCAAGGTTATCTTATTTTTTTTAATCTTCTCAAACTATGTGATCACGTTAATAGGCTCAATCAATAAATGGATCTATCAGACGAACTTTGGTAGAACCTCTTAATAATACTGACTGATATTTCACAAATGCTATGATTACTTGCATACAGTCGGTGCTGTCAAAGAGTCATCTTATGTTAAGCTTAGAAAGTTTTTGATCAATTCATACTGATTTATATTACATGCATACTTACCGACTGTAAATACAAAATGATACATTTTTTATTGACAGAAATTGTTTAATCATATTATTATCGATATCGGTAAATATATCAATACAGAAGTACATAGAAGTTCACAAGTTCCCTTTTTTATTTAACCAGATTCATCTTAGTTTTTAACAGGACTACCAGTGGGCGACAGTAGGTACTTAACGCGATGACGGTACACAACACTATCAAATAATACAGTATTCTTTGATAGTATTGTACCGTCATCGCGCTAAGTACCTACTGTCGCTCACTGGTGGTCCTAGTAAAAATTAAGATGAATCTGGGTAGATAAAAAAGGGGACTTGTGAGCTTTTATGTATGTATTTCTGTATTCTTTGGTTTAATCATCTTATTGACATTTTGTAACTTCCAATGAAAAAATAAGTCCTATTTTAATATTTTATTATAAAATTAATAATAAATAATTCTTTATACATATTAGATATAAAATAAATTGGAAATTAAATTCACTAATATTTACAGTACTCATAACTTTGACTTTTTTGCATTTGAATCGGTACTATCACTTTCTTTTACTTCTTCTTCTATTTTTATTGCGAAAACTTTACCGAAACGTCGTCTTTCTGAAAAGTTTTTATCCATAAAATCATTTAAATATTACTATATATAATGTTATAAATAACTTCTTTGAATAAGTTGTATCATATATAAAAGTTTACTTACCTGCTCTTAAAAGTAGATTTTTATTCTGGTACAGAATAGCTGCTTTAGACATATTTTCGTTTAATCCCAATAAAGCTGCCCTGTTTTGATCGTACAATAATTTTGTAAAGATAAGGAATAATATTTAACATAAAAAATATTAATTCAAATGTTTGATTTGTTAGATTATTTTTAAGGATACAAGTTGATAACGTCGTAAGGATTTCTGATATCCGTAACTTTATTAGCCCCACTCGATATTATCACATTCTAAAAAACAATGAAACAGTTCTTCATTATTTGAACACACAGAAAAAATGATAAATACATATATTAATATGCAATTTACTTTGCTTTTTCCATAAACATAAAATAAATGAGCCTGATGTATAGCAAGTTGTCGTGATTCTTGATTAATCACATCTGTATACTGTATTTCAAAATGTATATCTCTGTCTAAAGCTTGCATGTAAAGTTTTTTAGTCATTTTGAATTGAGTGCTGGATGCATTTAAAGTAATGATATCTGTGTTTAATTGGGAACACGCGAACTAAAAATTTCATAAATGAATTAAAATATAAAACAATGGATACAACTGACAATGAATACTATTACCTGAAGTGCTTCGCTTGTTTTTGGTATGACAGAATATACGTGGAACTTTTTTAAAACATTCCATTGATTCTGAAAAAGAAATATTTTATTTCTCATGAAAAATATGTTTTTATTGTTTCATTAAATTTGAATATAGTATAATACTTACCAACAGACGAGTTTTTTCTTCATCACTAAAAGCAAATGTAATTCTATTAAAAATGTTAAGTTTGCCTTCAAATTCTTTGACCAAATCATCGACGTCAATTGGATTAAGAAACGTTCGTGAATCGTCGTCGCATTTTTTCCTTTTCTTTTTAGTTTCAAAAGTACTTTCATCTATGATTTGATTAATTGCCACTGACCTATATCCCACTAATAAATATTATATTATTATGATGCTTAAAAAGATATAAACACTTTCACATATAAATTACAACTAGGTTAACTTCACCAATAAATTAAGAAACTTACGCTTATATGATTTTAATAATATTTCACGTAAATCGGAGGCATTACCATCCTTCGATGCATTTATACACAAATCAAAATATCCCTCATTGTATTTCATAGACATATTTGCAATATTTAACAAGTATTCACGAAAAGATAAACTCAAAGATAACCTCAAAGTGCTACGATTCTATACCTTTTCTAGTTGGTATAGGAATGCAAATGTACAATTTCATTTATAAAAATTATATTCTAAATTAAACAAATAAATTAAATTTTATGTTTGTTGTAGATGTTTTGAAAAATATATAAAATCCTGTTTATTTTTCTCATGTGTACAAGGTGTATAAGTTGAGAGGAATGGAAATAACTAGAAACGACCTATCGAAATATACTTTCGAGAGTCGGACCAATCGAAGCCCTTATATATATATCGTCATATGTGCATAACATGTTGAGTACAATGGAGAAAAAAAGATTTTTTTATTTATAATATATTTTTATTTTATAATTGGTTCGCAAAAAACAATGTATATGTACAACATATCAGATAATCAAGTAAATCCTTTCTTATTCGACCAATGAACACCGATCCTATGCAATTGCAATTGCAACTTGTAGTTTGATTGGTTTAGAAAGTAAATTGTGTTTTTGACCAATCAGAAGCGCCAATGCTACGCATTATAAGAATCAAATTCGGGATTTAATATTGACTTCATTTGTTTTTTAGTAGATCTCGAAAAATATTGAAAATCAGTAATTGTTTTGTTTTAAACGTTGGGAATTGTTTTTTTATCGATGATAAAAATATTTCGTTAGTTCTCGGCTTACATCTTGTTTGATTATCAGGTATTAATAAGATATAATTAATTTTTTATCAATTTATATATTATAAAATACTCACAATATTTTTAATCGAAGTTACATATTTTGGATTAACAAATTTTTGCATGATGGCGTATAGCAGTGCATGTTTAGAACGTTTTCTTCTTTAAAAATTTGCGCCTAATCATATCGAACATTGCAAAAAAGAATATTTTATCCGTTCTAGGTAATTTAGTAAATGAAATATTGTGAACATATTTGTAATATATACTTGCAATAAAGTTAATCTCACTTATGCATAAATTAACAAGAATGAAATACAGTATGGTAAGTTTCTACGAAAGATTCGAAGTATAAAACAATATCTAGCAAATTTAGATTTCCCTTTTTTTCGAACGTAAGCAATTATTATACATATACAGGGTGGTCTAATGAATATGCTCATCTTAGACCATATGAAATGAAAACTCTATTTTATATAATATGGACTTATGATGTATAAAAAAAGATGTATAAGAAGGGATAATCTTGAGAATCTTGAGGAGGCTTAGGGTTGAGAAAAAATTTGATATAGTCATCATAAAGTTGTCTTTGAATCATATTAAATTAGTTAAAAATAAAATATTCATTTGGATTGATCTAAAATGATTATGTTCCCTCATGTACCACCCTATATAAATATAATACACATCGGTAAATATAGGTGATGTTATCTTATAGAAAGTTTCTCGATTCAATCACTGTATTTCGTCGCACTTGTATACTTTTTCAAGTATAATTGCATTTTCTCGCATAAGTTTCTATCATAAGTAATTTAAACTGATAGGTGTATAGATAAGGGGGGTTGGAAGAGGGTGAGTGAGTCAGATTTCCAGGGACTTTCTTTTTCTCTTTCTAATTTTCATTCTCGATGGTTACTATCTTTCTTTCCGTCTATTTGCACGAGGACGTCTCGTATTTGTCGCATAGAAGGAAGGAAGGAGGGCTTGGTATCGGCGCTGTGTGCGCATTGCCAGTCCTCAAACGTGTCATTTGTGCGCACCGCAAAGTGTGTAGCTTGGCACTTGCAGTTACAGGCTTTAGGTTTGAATAAGGGGAGGAGCTTCGTGCATTCCCAACGTAATTATCCCCGTCCTCCTACGGCTTCCATGCCTGTTTCCTGTGGTCGTCCCCGTAACCGGTATATCTTATATACACAGCTGGCCGCCATCTTGGTCGCGTGCACTCTTTACTTTCTCGCAATTCTTTTTAAAACCTTTCCTACCGAATCCGCATACTCTCATGGATATCGTCGGATACTCATCGACTTACATACTTACATTTCATCATCTTTATTTACAGTTATTCTAGTATTTAACCTTTTTTTCTATTTCTCTTCTTATTATTACAGTTTCCATCGATCTTCATTCGATTCCGATCTTGGCTCATTGCTCGATCTTACTTGATTCATTTGGTGTCATTAATTATTCAGGTTAGATGCATGCTATGTTTCTTTTAAAACTATTCATTAGAAATTATTATTAAGATCGGTTAAAAACGAGTCTAATGAAACAATACTAGCGATTCCTCAAATTGAGAATATTCGAATTATAAAAATGATAGGAATGGTGTAATAGTCATTTAAGTCATAGCTGTTTATCGAGTTTAATCGTCGGAGGAAAATAGGTATAATTCTTAATTCTAACACGGCGGATATTATCAAAGAAATTCTCACGTTAAGCTGGACAGTTCGTGTCTAGGTTTTAACCGCTTTAATATCGTTGTCAGCATATCGCCACTCCCACAGTTGTCACTTACTTGTCAAGTGTCCACCTTGTAACGTTACTATTGAAAGAATATCAAGTAACCCTATGTAAGGCTAACGCTAACACGTCAGTGATTTAACATTGCCTGCTATACGGCGTTCCTTTGACACATTCTCGATAAACGCGAGTAGGTGAATATTTCCTATCGGTTTTTTTTATTTCTGATCATTTCAAATGCTATTCATGGAATTAATTATAAAATTGTTTGTAGTAATAGATAGGAAAATATTTGATATATTTATCATTTATTTAATTATATGTGTAATATAATAATAATAAAAATATATATGTATATGATTTAGATCACTTTCATAGTCAGCAAGTTAAAATACTACGAATCGTAATAGTCGAATTTATTTCATCAGAGTTGTACTATTCTTAGATGAAAGATAATTTGTGTGGTCCTTCCTTTATAACAAATAGGTCGATCGAATTATTTCAAATGTGGGTCTAGAGTCAGTTTACTGGTTACGTACTAGTTAAATATAAGAGACAGAAATGTGTGTTGAGAGCTAGGGCAGTGTGACACGCATGACACCGGTCATTAAACGTTGCAACGTTTTCCAGCCTATTAAAAAGAACTCGTTGATAATTAGTGAATTAATGATAATTGTTCTATACAAAGTTCGCTGCGAGAATTGTGCAAGTTTTTATTCCCATGCACCCGGTCCAAGGCTTCTTTGTTAGGCGCATCATGCGCAAAAGTATGTGACGAGAAATTCTTTACGATGACTTCTTTTACCACGTTCAAAAAAAACAATTCTGTCAACGAAAAGCGATTGTTAGACGATTGTGACATCGACTAGGAGCAGTTATTTGATAGCAATGACAACATGATCAAGTCGTTGCATTGTTTTCGCGTTTCGTCTATCTGCATATTACGCATGTGATATCAAAGTTTCAAGAAGAACGCTAAACTTTTTGTTTTATTGAATTTTCATGAATATATCCATAATTCTTTTTACATATGCCAATAATATATAAAATATCTACGAAAAACGATGTGTCATCTTTCTCGTATCACTGTGACAATGAACCGAAAAGATCAACTCCGAGCATCATTCGAAAGATTTAACATCAAAGAAATTTACCGACGACGGGTCCAGGCGCGATACAAACAGTCGAATTACTTTGATCAATCTGATCGTATACGTAGAAATCTCAATTCCACGAAACCTTACGACGACGAATTTTACCCACACACACACACACGCACGCACGCGCGCGTGCACACATATATATTTATATTACATAGTTCAAGATATTAATATAAAGTGTACCTACTTATTTGCCGTACGATCGAGGATATCCATCCATCCATCCATCCATCCAACTAACCAATCATCCATCCATCCATCCATCTTTGCGTCGTATCGTGGTAAACGTTGTGGCCTTGAGATTATTTTACTCGTATCATTTTGACGTTCCGGGTATGCTTTGCTATACTTGGCCTCAATTCTTCCCAATTTACTGATTATCGCACTTCCACTCTACTATTTTTCTACGTCTTTTACCTCTCTTTTTTTTATTTTTTATTTCTCATTCATTCTTTCATTTTCCTATTTTTTTCTTTTTTCTTTTTCAGTCGATTATATATTATTTTGAAATTCTTAAATAATTATTAGTTTGCCCGGCAAGTGATTAGTTTGCCGTGCCGATTTTTAATACAAATTGATGAATAAAACTTGTATATTTTAATGAAAATATTTCTAAATCTTATACGAACATTCTTTGCAATTTAATATTTGCGTTGTAAGCAAAATCGTTTATCGTAGATCCGATCTATGGATTCTAAGAAAGGGTTAAAATTTGTAGGGAAGACTAAATGATATCAAAAAGATATCGTAAACGATCTTTCCTTTCCCGGTGAATTGACAATAGTTGATAGTCCAAAGGAAATAAAAAGAAAAGAAAAGAAAACAAAAGAAAAAAAAAACAGAAAAACAAAGGGGAAAAGATACTTTTGAAAATTGTACATACGTGAAAGAGATCAAGGATTCAGAGTAATTCCTTAACAACCCAATTTCAGGAGATATATAAAGGAGTCGGGACACATTACAATGCCGCCTTTGCTTCCTTCCAAGGAACTTTGACGTGGCCCAAATGTTTTGTGTTTTTGGGGAGGCCTAATAAAACGCAGCGCCGACAATACCGTCGTAATAGCGACTGTGTGTGTGCCTACGGCGCTTATTAAGGCCCTCGAATTTTCGACTGACCGTCGTCGTTTCGGTCTGACAAGGAAATAACTTTCAGCGAAGAGATAGCGGACGAAAGAACCGAACCAGCGAACATTCTATTCGCTTATTGGATATCGATACAAAGTTGCATGTATCGATGGATGGAATGAATGGTCGGATATTGAAATGCTGTTATTAAAATTCAAATAAGTCACAAAAATGTATAATATGTACTCGTGTTCTCGAATTTGTTCTTACTTGGAGAACGGGGAATTCAGTTATATTCACGTCGGCCATTTTGCGTGGAGTTATACGTCGAACGCCGTTCTGCAGCGCATCCGATCCATGGGGATTCGCGAATCATTTTTTTAATCCATCGATTCTTTACTTTGATTTATTTTTTATCCTCATAATTTATTCTCCAACTTTTTATTTTTCATAAGAAAAATGGAATTTTCTTTGCGCGTTACTTCCCATTAATTTCTGTTTCTTTAACATAGACGCGAATATTGAAAGAAATATTTGAGAAAAATTATTCTGCGACATTTTCAATAAGTATATAACGTATTGCATAGTTATTATCATAGTTATTATTT